AAGCACCACAAGTGAGACGTACCAAACCGAACCGTACCGTACTATGCAGTGGAAAAGCGCCTATAGAGTCTATCCTAATGAACTGAGGATCTGAATCAGGTGTGTTAAATAAGGGAGACATACACAATATGCAGAGCAGTGGGTCGCGAGGACTGGAGTTGAGAACCCCTGTTCTTGAATACCATGCAAATTAATTTTATGTAGCCCTTGCAAAAACAGACATAAGGCTGTATCTCCGCAATGCTTTATCATATTCTGACCAAACTTGGTCCATGTCATCATAAGCATGACCTGAGGTTACATGCTGTGTTTCTGGGCAGTGCCACCTACTGGTCCGGAGATATGAAAAATGGCTATTTGTGCTCATAACTTCTTAACGGTTTGTTAAAAAATCATAAATCGTAGTCTTGTTAGATTTAGGGCGTCATACCGAGTCAACTGATATCCAATTTTCCCAGATCGGCCATTTTGGCTGTCGGCCATTTTGAATGATGTGCTAAAATGCTGTATTTTTAACGCATGAACGAATTGTTACGAAACTCACTATGGGTCATCTGTACGATGCCCTGAAGGAACATGAGAAGTTTTGAAACAGTGCCACTTAGTGGTAAAATTACATTTTCAAATGCTTGACTCTGATTGACATATTTTAACAAGACTCATCTCGTTGTGTTCCTGAATCGTTGCCGAGTCCAACAATACCAGACTTGCCAGGCTCCATCATATGGTTTGTGCAACGCAGTAATTTAGTGCTTAAAAAACATTTGCCGATATCTTCAAAACCATTTGTCCGATCAAAGTTTGGAAACATATGTCTCTGGTTTTATGTTAATGCCCAAATGCAAAAATATTGATAGTAAGGTGTAGTAAAATTCAATCAAAGTCACGTGTCAGTCATTTTTTTTCGTGTCAGTGTTTTTTCATATAAATGTCTATAACTCTGAAGTGAATTGAGATATATTCACCAAATTTGGCACACAAATGCATAGGCTCATTCTGAGGACACATGAAAAAAAAGTGAGATTTTGCCTCTTGGTGGCGCTATAATAGAACATAACATGCTATACTTAATGAATGCATTGATGTAACATTACGAAACTCAGTTTGTGCCATGAGCACCATCCCCTGAAGGTACTCAAAAGATTTCAAGATAGCGCCACCTTTTGGTCAAAGTTATAACAAAATTTCTAATAATGCTTATAACTTTTGAATAAATCTGCGTATTTTAATGCCACTGGTCTGAAGGTTTTTTAATCGTCACTTTTTAATCGTTCATCTATTTTGTAACCACGCCACCTATTGGTCGAAAGTGATAATCCATTTAATCACATTTTTAGTTAATGTATGTGATTTTTCAGCCATTTTGCCTAAATTCATCTTTAAATGTCTTCAGTTGCTCCTTGCTACAGTTGGTCTACCACATGTTGTCATGTCTTGTCATCTTCTTTGTGCTTGGCCTCGGTATTGCTGCTTGCAGCTATATTTATTATTATTATTATTATTATTTTTGCTGGCTGATCTTTAGTCATTTGAGACTTTCTGAAAACTAGTGATTTAAATGAAGCACCATGCAAAGGTTACTTATTCATTGTAAAGATGCTGTATTCACAGTCAGCCATGAATTTGAAAGCAAAAGTGGTCAGTTATAGGATGGGTTACCGTTCATTTCATTCATCGTTAAAATGTTTGGATGCTTATTTCCGTTCATGGTGGGGAAGCATTTTCTCACAAATGAAAGAAATTTCTGTCAATGGTGGGGAAAGAGTTAATATAATAATATGCCACAAATATTTTTCCTCACCCAAATAAAACAGTAATGCGTTTATAAAGGAAGTCTTTGAAGCAAGACATTCTGGATAGTTGAAATGTGAAGTTTGCATTTTTGTTGATCATATACGTTTATTGATTTATAGTTTTATTACTACTTGTCCTAAAACCACTTGGCAGTATTATTGTTATGAAACAATCCACTGGAGGCAAGCTGGTGAGGACCCAAATGCAAACATTACTTTTCAAAACATTAAACAAGGACAAGGTATGAGACAAGAACCATGGCAGAAAACAGTCAACACTAGAAACATACAATCCTCGACAAAAGACACAGGGAAAACATGATGGCTTTTATACACTGACTTATTACAAGACAAGGAACATCTGTGAACAATGATCAGACAATTAACAATTGACAAGACACATGGCAGCCTCACCTGACAAACAGGGAATCACATGAGAGACAAGAACAAGGAACAAGACACAAAACCCACACCGTGACAGTTATTGAGCATATTATGCAAAAGTTACAAGTTTACCAACTTGTCATGCCGATGGCAGGAGAACACTTTACAATAAGGTCTCAATTGTTAACATTAGTTAACTACATTAGTTAACATGAACTAACAACCAGCAATACATTTTCCCTCAATGTATTATCCTTTCTTAATGTTAGTTAGTACAAATGCCTTTATTAATTGTTTGTTCATGATAGTTCAGAGTGCATTAACTAATGTTAACAGATACAAATTGCAATTTATCATTCTGCAGAATTACCAAAATGCTGTAGAAGTTTTGTTCATTGTTAGTTCATTTTAACTAATGAAGTTATCTAATCTTAATGAATGAAAAAAAGTGTTACCTATACAGTAAGTCCTTTAAGTAAGTAAGTTATTACTTACTTTAAGTAAGTTATTTTTTACAAACAGTTTTTGTTTTTATGTTTATTTCGATTTAATGTTTTGTTCTGTAAGCACATTACAATGGCTTGCAATGACTTCCATTTGGAAATGCATTATGTGCAGGGCCAGATTTATGCATAAGCATTCTAAGCATGTTCGCTTATGCTCGCACATCCCTTCCCGGGACCCAATTACAATGAGGCGCAATAATGGTCTGTGGGTTTTGCAAATATTTATGTGAAGGCCAAGTATATAACCCATACTCTGAACTTGTCCTCTGCCCATCCAAGTTGGTGCACACACACACACACACATAGTGCAAACTGTGGACACAGACTTGGAGCAGTGGGCAGCTATTTTGCTGTGGTGCCCAGGGAGCGATTGGGGGTTTGGTGCCTTGCTCAAGGGCACCTCAGTCCTTTTCTTCCAGTTTTGAGAATTGAACCCACAATGTTCAGGTTACCAGTCTGACTCACTAACCATTAGGTCACAACTATCGCCCTTAACCAATGAAAAATTATTAAAAAGAGTTTATTACTAAACCTTGTAATTCCATTGGATCATCAAACCGTCGGTCAACCCGCATTTCTCAACGTCGTCTCTATCGTAGATGAAGCAGTGGTTTTCAAACCTACCCCCTTAAACCTTTAAGAAATAATATGCCACCCCTATTAAAATATTTTTACAAATGAAAGATTATTTACTTGAAATTGAAAATTGGCAACGAAAAGCACCAGCAAATATTTCACAAACTGTCAAAAAGTGTTGTGCAAGTTACTTCCAAACTGTAATACATTAGGTATTACTTGTTACTGTTATTTAAAAGTAATTCATTACCTTACAATATTACTTTCTCAGAATTGTAATGCGTTACATTACTCATGTATTACTTTTGAGTTACTTTCACCAAAATAACTAAGTAGAACTGAACTTTGGGGCTGTAACGATATGCAATATGGAACCGAAATCGCAATTCGCCACACGACTCAGATCCACGAACCTACAGAATCGCGACACACCTTTCAACTCCAACGTTATTCTCCTTACCGTCCAGATCCAATGCTGCCTTATCTTTAAATTAGGCTATTAGTATTATTTGAAGTTAACATTTTAAAATACGTAGACCTACACCACAAAACTACCACAATAAATTATTTAAAATTGGGGAAGTCCAGCATTATGGACATGACATTTGCAGTCAAAAAATGAAATAAAAATTCTCAGAAAATACATGTATTGAATCGTATATAGGCTACTTCCTTAAAGGACTCCATACATTAGACAAATATCAGTCTATGTTTTATTTTTAATATTAGGGAAAAGACACACATTCATGCGTGGAGGCAAAATATATTTTTGTAATTCTGTTAATTACACTGCGCATATCGGATGAGGAAGGGTTGGCTCTCCAGTCTCCATAGAACTTAAAATATTCATTTTATTTTAGTTTTCGTGTTCGCATTTATGAGGAAAAAACAATGCTACAGACGTGACCGCTCTGAACTGGCACTAAAAGACTGCTTTAAAACTTTCACATAGTCTGTTGCCTTTAAGAAGTAAAAGCAGACAATACATTGTAATACAACTGTAATACAAGCCTCACTGAACATGTAACGAGTAAAATATTACTGAAAATTGATTAGTAATGCCTTACACTACTGCGTTACAGCAAAAAGTAATATGTTACTGTAATGTATTACTTTTGTAATGCGTTACTCCCAACACTGTTCACAAACATGGCAGAATACAATAAAACCCATTATAATCAGTGGTTCTGTTTACATTGGTTGCAGTGCAATGGAACATGACATATCCCAGACAATAAACTGATTCTATTTATGACATACTCGCTCTATTTCTGACACTATCAAAAAATGGATTTGCAACGGTTATTTTGTCGCGTCCAGTGTGGACGGCTTTTAGCTGTTGCACCCTATAACAGTTGGACCCGGTGTAAACACACTGTCTGTGTTCCTGTTGAAACATTGCAAGGGTAAATAAAGAACTGCTTGTTTGAAGAAGTACATTGTTTTCTTTACTCAAGATGCTAAACACTACAGGTGAAACTCGGAAAAAAAAAATTAATATTGTTCAAAAGTTAGTTTTTCATTAATTTAACTAAAAGGTGAAACTAATAAGCAAAGTGAGATATTTCAACCCTTTATGTGTTATCATTTTTATGATTATGGTTTACAACTGTAAAAACCTTTTTCACAATATTACATTTTGAATTTGGGGGTTTCATATACTGCAGGCCATAATCATCACAATTAAATATAATACATTGTTGTGTATTAATATAAGTTTTCTTGTACCTTCTCCGTCCAGCGTGCTGAGTAACGAACATGGCCCAGAGGCCTACGAGCTTCACATCTCTGTGAAGGACTACTGCTTCGCCCGAGAGGACCGAATCATCGGCTTGACTGTCCTGCAGCTCAGAGAACTGGCCGAAAAGGGCAGCCTGAATGCTTGCTATCCACTCGCCAGGAGCGTAACTATGGACGATACCGGTCTGACCATCATGAGAATACTCTCGCAAAGGACCAACGACGAAGTGGCCAAAGAGTTCGTACGTCTCAAATCAGACACACGGTCAGCCGAGGAGGTATCGTAAAGAACCGGTGGGAAGGAAAAAAAAGAGCGGGAGGGATATTGCAATGCAAGATGGTTGTGTTTGTTTTTGTGCATGTGTGTAAAACATCTGTTGGAATGTTCATTTTAAACTACAAGTACGTACAAAAGTGTTTACCTACCGTATGCTCTCTATCAAATATTATATTCTACAAAGTTATGTTCAAGAGACGTTGAATACAGTTTTGTATGACGATTAGTCTTTGTGAACAGATCTTGTATTTGTTCAGATAAAGTGCCAAACCTGATGAGTTTAAAAAAAAAGACAAAAAAACAAACACATGAATTATTGGTGAAGTTGGTATCTTTCTAAATTTGCTCGATTCTTTTGTCCGGTGTATATCATCCTCTCTTTAAGTGTGTAACGGTTTTGTTCGTCTTTTCATTCTCACACCATTTTTTGTAGTTTGTTTGTTTTTTTTTTTTGTTTTTTGCATTTTTGGTAACTCACCCTTTCTCACACAGCACTGGTGGTGCATGTCTCGTTTTCTTGGTGACGTCTCTCCCATGTGTTCGCAGTGACTGTGGGCATCGGCTCGGACCCTCTCCCCTCCAACGTTTTGTATTTTGAGCCGACTTTAAAAAGAGACCATTTTTTTAAAATGGCGATGACTGCTACGAATCTCTTCATACGTGTTTGTAATTTTATAGTCGTTGACAACAATGAAAACCACCTTGAGTGCTGTCGCTCCAGGCAGGAGGGGTGGGATGTTATTTTCGTTTGTTTCATATGTTTAGTTCCTGTGCGTTTCCTTCTTTTTTTCTTTTTTTTTTGTTTTGTTACCATAGGCTTTCAGCCTTTCTGAATTATCACTGTGAACATGGGCTCTGAAAGGCAAGCTTACATCACATTTGTTGACTGTTTGATATCATCTTTTTTATTTTTTGAAACAACTTTGATTCAAAAACAAAAGAAGAAAAAACTGCCAAAGTTACATGAAAATATTCATACAAAAGCAATTCATGATCTGTATGAAAATCAGTATATACTATGTACACATGCTACATACTGTACATGAATCATGTTTATAGTATTGCTGAGTCATATCTGATTGTGTTTATGGGCTGGGTTCTGAGTTTTTCAGGATGATTTCTGTGAAGTTGTTTTATCTGGTATGAATGTGGTAAGTGTTACTTTACAAGAAGAGTCATATCGATCGCTGTCATCTCATTTATTTTTGTTTACAGAGGAAAAAGTTTAACATTTGGTATTTATGCAACATTCCTATGTATTGCACTGATGGCAAATTGTATGTCATGTAAATATATTTAGTGAGAAATTGTAATGAAGGTCTCATTGTTTTACATTTTTTAGGAAAGAAGCTTTATTAACACACTCAATTATTAGCATTATATCATTGAACATTCAGAGGGAGTTATGGGGTGAGTTTGACAAAAAAAAAAAACATGCCCTGGTCATCCCTGATATAAAGGTACACTATGTAACTTTTTTCAATTCAGAATTAACCAAATTTAAATAATGAGTCAATACATTATTAATCCTTCTTCCAAAATGTGTTTTGTCTTACCCTGATTTACTATGGTAAGCTAGTCTCAGCCTCAGACGTCACGCCTGCAGACCGCTGGCTGAACGTCTGATGCATATGTAATACAAAATTGGAAACACTTCAGGAGTTTTGAAGGCATCATCTGATTTGTTGACGTGTGTGTCGCATTCTTTAGCATTCCTCCCCTGGAAACAAAGTTGCTGTGATGCCAAACCCCCTCATGGAATACATCACTCACACGTGCGTGTCTCGTCATATCTGTAAATAGAAACATGTTCCTATGGCTACTTGTATGAGTGGGAGTGAATTAACCCTGCCCTCCAAATTCGCATTACTCAAACTTATATTAGTAATTTACTATAATACTTGAATGCAAATGTAAAAAAAGAATGCAAATGCTGTAAAACACTTTGTATATCATTTCTTTAAGATTTGGGGGGTGAATTATGACATGTTCTTGACTGATGCCATGGCATTTACCTTATAATTCAGTTGTTCACACTATTTTTATGATAACTGCTCCTCAATATGAGTCTTTCTTTTTCATCTGAATGGCCACAATCAGCTCTTAACAATATCTGTGGGTTACACAACAACAGATTTCATCACAGTATGTGGTAACACACTGTTGATTTTTGAGACAGCAGGAGGGAAATTAGACCCGCCACATTTTCATTCAAAACAATCCTCATCGCTCAGCATATGTGTAAGAGACCATAAATATGAATATGTCGATTCTGCATTAGCTACTTGCAGAGATTGCCACCATATTGGAAAGGTCAAACTCAAGCATGTAAAATGACAGATGTGGTGCGAGCTTCTGAAAGAAAACATGTTCCAAACATTTGGTTCCTCATAAACATCAGACAGTTCGGTTTAATGCAGATTTTGTAAAATTGAAGAGAAAGTGGTTAACACTTTCATAATGTGCTGTGGGTGATGCTCCATAATTGTCTTCTGTCCATGAAAAACTGACATCTTAAAAACCATAATCTCCAAACCAGCAATCAGCCAATATTTTGCCTCCCATGGGTATATAGTAATGCGTTTTACCCATGTCATCAATCTCTCAGCGGCTCAAAGGGAAAAGAGGCCTATTAGAATGCTTTAGAGTAATGTTGAAGGTGTTTGCTGCACCTTTTACAAAAGCCGCTGAATATCAGCTCACGCTTTGTTTAATTTTGTTGACCCTCGGTTTTCCTCTATGGCCTCGCGTGGGGAGAGAGTTTGACACGCAAAGCTCTTTCTGGTCAACATCTGTTACACTCACCCCCTAAACCTCACTCTCATTCAGGTCACAGCACCAAATGTAACCAGTCATACTCAACCTGCTCCGAGCTGGATACAAACCGGTGTGGGAAGCGGGCACGCTAACAAGGATGATAAAGACCACGGCCTCTAGCGCCTCTTGATGCCAGCGAAACAGGGTTTACACGCACAGCTTTTATTGGCCTGCATTACACAAAGACAAATCAAATGCCCTTTTTCTGTGTCAAAAAACAGCACATGCTGTGATTCATGAATCTGCTCAGAGCTGAGGACACACACGAGGAGGCGGAGACTGATATGCATATGCCCTTCAACAGCCTGGTTTGGGCATCATGAAAAATCTTAAAACAGGACTGATATAATGACATGAGAACGTACACTTAAGATTCTCATGAACTTCACATTTTTCATAACTTAAGCAGGTTTGCCAAGAGTTTGCTGTTTTAAAGCTCATGATTTCTCATTGGTTACAAATATCAACTTTGTCCTAATCAATAGACACAAGGACATGCACAGGTGTACAGCGCATGAAAATCATAGCCTACTTGAGTAAAAGGACAGATTACTTACAGCTAATCCATTACAAATCACCAATTTCACCACTTGAGTAAAAGTCTAAGGCCCAGTTTCATAGAGAGGGCTTAGATTAAGACAGGATTAGACCTTAGTTACATCAGGACATTTAAGATACTTTTAAATGTGCTTTAGAAAACAAAACATTACTGGTGTGCATCTTGAGACAAAACAATGGCACTGCATATTTTAAGGTACAGGTATTTTGGTGCAAGTTACTTTAAGTTATAACTGCTCAAACATGCATTTTAGTCTGGGACTATAGGCTTAAGCCTTGTCTGTGAAACCAGGTGATCTGTTTTTAACTGATTTTAACAGCACTGAAGTACTTTACTCAGACTGAATAGGCTCAAAGATGCTCTTTTTCTCAACACCTAAGAAACATGCCAGTGAAAAACAAGAAACAGCCGATTTGTGAGGATATAGTGGATAAATAAAACAATGTTATATATTGAAGCCTAAAAAAATCAAAGCCTTTGCACTGGACATGCTGGTTTCACAATCAAGTTCAGTTTGTGACACTAGCCGCATTTCCATTACATATTTGCGCAAAACTTTTATAATATTTTCTAAATGTCATTAAAAGACTATTGTGCCTTGATGGTGTTTCCATTGCGCCTTGATGGATGTTATGCGACTAAAACGTACATTTTTTCCTCTCGCGATAAGTCATTCCAAAAACCATGGCAATGGATGTTGGTAGGTTTACGTATATCGCAGCCACCACACCAGCCATTATATTAATCGAAGAAGACGTAGGCGTGTTATTTAAGCATTAATGGCAAGGAAAGCCCTTCATACTTGGGAGAGGCCATGTATGAGTTGTTTTGGTATTTCTCCCTCATATCTGCTTCAAGGTCTTGGTTGTGGCATTTCTTTGAACACACTGGCCCTCATTTATCAAAAGTGCGTACACCAAATTTCCAGCGTACACCTTGCGTACACTGTGAGTTTGAGATTTATCAATATGGACGTGGGCGTACGGCACGCTCGAATCCTACACCAGCTCAGGAGGTGGTGTACGCACGTTTTGAGTTAGTGAGGAAATGCGCAGAAAAATTCCTAACACCACAAAATGCACTGACAAACTAAAAGATATGATATATTATGACCCACTGTAAAACAAACAAACAAAAAAACAACATAGAAATTATAAACTTCAGTATTTATTTTTGTGTAACGTGGACTTCAATGTTTAATTTGTGTGACTTTACCAAAGCATTTGATTTGTAAGCATATATTCCTTCAGTTGCGAGCCCGCTTTACCCTGACGTTTCAGGATTATCCCCGGCAGGTGCGCACGGACTGGGTTCGGTAGCCTAATGAAAGGCTTTCAATGACAAAAAAATAATTCAGACTGACAAAATAATAAAAAATACATTCTTTTTATACGGGGCGGCAGTGGCTCAGTGGTTCATGTGGGTTGTCTACGAACCGAAAGGTTGGTGGTTCAATCCTCGGTTCCACCTGACCAAGTGTCGAGGTGTCCATGACTCCATGAGCAAGACACCTAACCCCAGCTGCTCCCGACGAGCTGGATGGCGCCTTGCATGGCTGACACCGCCGTCGGTGTATGAAAGAGTGTATGAATGGGTGAATGTGAGGCAAACTGTAAAGCGCTTTGGTGGCCATTAGGTCTATGAAGGCGCTATATAAATGCAGTCCATTTACCATTTACCATTTCTTCTTTTAAATGATGATAATAATAGAAATAATAATAAAGACATCCTTCTTCTAAATAACAATAAGGATCATTAATGCAAATCATAATAAAAAGAAGAATACTATTACAAATTGTCATGCAATTATTAATGTGAATGAATGGTACTTCACGTCACATCATCATCATCACTATTATACATGTGACGTGATTCGAAATTGAATGCTAATTTCAAAAGTCGTGCTGTAAAATAATAGGCTTGTTTGAGATGAGCAAAATCTGCGCAGAATCGATCACCGGTGATCAGCGCGAGATGCATGCCGGTTAGAAATGTGTCCGAGAACGGTCCGCCTGGCTCTGATGTCATGTCGACGTATGTCAAAAAACTCTCGCGAGCGCAAGGCGCACCTGTCGGATTCTGCAGTCGCGCGCAGTTGCTCTCCACCGACTGCGCTGATCAAAAGCATGATGGGAAACGACTTGCTGACGACACAGCTTAATGCTCATTGGTTTAAACAATAGTGATGAAGGTAAATTCCATATTCATTAAGCTAAATTTTCCAAATCAAGGCCATGTTTTATTTATTTATTTATTTATTGAAACTGATATATATTGTGAATCTCTTAAACGGGTTAAAAATAAGAAAGCTAGTCAGTAACTCAAATATAGGCCTACTCTAAAATGTTCAAGTGAAAAATAGCTCTCATTTTATAGATGATGAAGTTTGTAAGTCTGTCTATTTAAGCTAAGCTTATTTTGATTTATTTATTTATTTTATTATTAATTTTATTCTGATGTTTATTTATTTGTCGCTGTATAATAGGCCTATTTGTTTCACGAATTGTGGTGCTTGTAGGTAGGCTATGTTTGTAACTTACATTCTAATAAAAAAGTAAAATAAATAAAAATAAAAGAACGACAGATGAATTGTTCTCTTTTAAAATGTTTGATTTTAAAACTGATATCATGTTTTATGTGTATACATATGGGTGAATAAACTCTCTGACAGTACCATATGGGTTATATTTCATTTTTGTTAAAACAATAGGCTACATAAAAACACGTCTGTAAAGAAAAAAAAATTGATAAACACATATTTGGAATGTAATTAAATAACAAGTACTTTGGGTGTCTTGTTCATTATATTTATTTTTATATAAAAGCAACAGTTTATTAGCAACACGTGCACGAGCGTGAATCCCGTTAATCCCGCGATATCCGCCTTTGATCTCACAGGTGTCTGATTCACTGCGAGAACCGAGATCTGTCCGGCTT